GAGGTTATCCTGGGGCAATCCAACGATGCTTGCCTTCTCCGAAGAGCTTTGGCACTATATTTTCCTGTAGCTTCAGCGTTATAAATTGTAACTTGAGCTTGTAGGTGATGGGGTAATCCCCGCAAGGAACGTTATTTGAGCAAATGCTGATCCAGATGGTGAAAATGCCCAGGATAGATTTGATCTTAGCCGTCTTTCTGCCACGCAAGCTCTTCACAACATCTCCCTCAATGCAAGTATTTACTGCTTTCTTCATCTTTGACCTTGCTCTTTCCAGGGACCCATCAAATTGGAGTGGTGAAAGAAAAGAAGGGAAGCTAATGATTTGGAGAGGGCTTTCAGGATGATTCCTGCGGTGCACCTTTGCCATCTAGCCTCATCCTGCTGAGCTCCGCTGGATGCTCAGATGCTTCCAGGAGCGACCCTACAAGCTCAGAGGTGAATCCCTAGCTCGTGTGCCCTCGTGTCGGGATGCATGCCACCTCCCGTGCTACAGCCCCCGTACACCTAGCAGCACAGGGACTCAATGGGAAGCTGTGGTTGGCCACCAGCACGGCTGGATCCTGCAGGAACACGCCAGGGTTTCTTTCCAGTTGGGTGAGCCGTCTCCGCATAACTGCGGGTGCTCGGCACTGCTTTTCCAGCTGCCTCTTGGAAACCACCTCCCCCAGATGGCTGCGTAGAGCAGGGAGTTGCAGGCTCCAGCTGGGGTGCTCTGGATAGAGCCCCTCCAGCAGGAGGTGAAATGAGCTGGGAGCAGGAGCTTGCAGATCAGCGCGGGCAGGGAGGGTTTCTGCAGCAGCAGCCGGTGAGCTGCCAGCCTCAGGGCATGTGGCTCTGCTCAGCCCTCAGAAACCGCAGCGGGGAGCGGGCAGGGTGTGTGCGGGTGTGTTTCGGAGATGATCAGCATCAGTCAAGGGCAAAGGCTTGCCCCCCACACAGTGTGCTTTTGGTAAAAAGCCTGGGGATTTATTACACACTTTTGGTTGTCAGATACCAGGTCTCACTACCCGCTCTTGTAAGGCTCAGAAAAAGGACTGCTGTCTTTGGGATGTGACCACAGAAGAGCCTGGGCCCCCTTTTTCCACTGTCCTTGACCATGTTCCCTTTCCCCATGAAATGTTCTGCTGTGATTTCCATGCTTGCAGAGTTTCTCCTGTGCATTGAGTAATGTGCGTGAGCTTGGCTTTCCTCTGGGCAACACATCATAGGGGCAAATTAAGGGTGTTTGAAGAAAAAGACCTGGAAGAAACGTTCCTTTACCTGTGACGCTTCCACCAGAAGTGAAAGCAATAGGGACACTGACTCTGAGGAAGTGCTTTTAGTTTTGCTGTACAAAAAACCTGACTTGCAGGGTTTGGGAGGAAAGCACAAATGCAGCGTGACTTCTGTTCGTGCTTCCACAGCGATAAGGCAGCCTCGAGCTCCTCGCCGGGGGTGAGCCAGTTCCCCTCTGGAGCTGTGAGAGGGAAAAGGGGCTGAGGCTGGGATGGAGAAGGACACCTCGAGGGCACCTTCAGTTATTTCATGGAGTGCTGCTGCCAGCTGGGACTTGTGCCCTGTGGCAGTTCTGGTGTGTGTGGAAGATGCCTTCTCCTCTAGGGTTTGTTCTGTCAGTGGCTGGAAGTTTTTCAGCTCTCGATCTGTAGGTGTTGCCGTTCAACTCGGAGTGGGCCCTGGCTTGGAGGGGATACTCCAGGCTCCGAAGCCCCTGGGGAATCCCTGCTGGCAGGACCATGCTCCAGGCTCTCGCCTCCTCCTCAAGTGTCCAAGCCAAAAGGGCTGGGGAAGCCCTCTGAAACTCTGAGTTTCAGAAGACCTGAGGGTTTTGCTGAAATAACACCTCAGGGGCAAGTAAATGTGGTTGTGTCCTGATGAGATTGAGCGTGGATGGCTGTGGAGGTTGTTGTCCCTTTGTATCCAGGTACAAAGCCATCTTCACACACAGACAGCGACAGCACCCTGAGCTGCAGCTAACACAAGTTGAAGAAATCAAGTAGTAAGTTGAGGAAAGCAACCTGTACAGGTGAGTGGCCATCCCTTTGTGTCAGAAGCATTTACTGTTTGGCAGCATTAGGCTCAAACAGCTCCATGGATCTGATGCTGGTTTTATGCACAGCTGTGAGCTTCCCCGTGTCAGACCTCATCGTGTCTCCGCGGGGTATCTCCTCCGTCCGAGGGGTCAGGTATCTCGGTGTTAATTGTCTGGAAAATCAAACTAAAAGCTGCCTTTCACACTTACAAGGCACAAATGCTTCAGTGGCAGCTGGCTGGGGTGGGGGCAGAAGGTGGAGCTGTTTCTTCCTCATGCGTCCCGCTCAGAAGGGTGCAAACATCTTAGGAGAACCCCACAGGACATTAAAATCTTGTTTTACATGTGTACAGATCAGCCTCAGAAGGAGCTGTGAAATAAGCTGCAGCAAGGCAGGAGGAAGGTGTTGTGCTGTCCCAGGCGTGCAGGCACTGTGGTATGTTCAGATGGATCTTGAAGTTGAAATTTAACATCCTTTAACGGGAATTTACGCCTGTAAAATTCCCACCGAAGTCTCGTGTACGCAGTGCGTTCACGTTTTGGTTTGTGCTTAGAGAGGATGTTTAGTGGGCATATCCCATGGGTAGTTCTCAAACAGTCATCAGCTGATGCACTGAAATCTGAGGGGCCTGGACTGCAAAATGGTGAGTGTTTGGTTGTGTCACCCCTCCCGTATTTAAGAGGTAAGATTCAGAGGCTAAGCAGAATGAAAAAGGAAAAAACTTAATCAAATTACATTTGGACTTTGAAACATAGATGATCTTGCATCTACCTCTCTAGGATTAAATACGTGGTTTCCAGTCATGTTGCTTGGCATAAATCTGTTGTTTCACAGTTAGGTATTAAAATTACAGTATAGAGATATTAATATTACAGATTTGGGGGCTGTGGATGTAGAACGTGCATCTCCGGTGTCTGATCCTAAAACTGGGGCATTGCTGCAAGGAAAGCCTGGTAGGGAATTGTCAGCAGTCTCCGCTTTGTATTTTCTCTGTATCTCACTTCCTTGTGGGAATGAAGTCGTAGAGGACAGACAAAACAGCAGAAGAAAGGGGATTGCATCGCTCACCTGGCATGGTTGTGTTGCTTGTGAAAGTCGTGAGGATCCAACCTGTTTTCACATGCTCTATCTCTGTACGCCGACCCACATCATGTATGTGAGAGTGGTAATCGTACAGCACACACGACAAAACACGACAATCCCTAAGGTGATTTATCCCGTCCTTTTGATCCCATCAATGACCCTTTGCACACCAAGACCTTTTTACAGGCACTGCTTGTACTGATGCAGACCTGCCCGGCAGCTTCAAACCGCTGCCATTTCCAGAGCAAAACTGTCCAGGGAATCCTGCTTCTACCGTGGCTCCAAAGAAAAACGTCTTCTCCGCATTACATTGATTTAAACTGCACATGCAGTTTTTGGCTTTGGTTCAATGCCAGACTAAAGGTCCTCTACATTATAAACTATCAGGGCTAGAAAGATTTGCTCTATAAATGGCTCCGTATGCGTATGCAGTGTATATATATTATGGATCTGCTTATGTCATGGAGCACTTCAAATATCCCTTAATAAAATAATAGACCCCTAGGTAGCTGTATGTACTGGCAGAAAGTTGCTCAGCCCTTTGGAGCCATGGAAAAAGTTAGTGCTCCGAAACGTTTCTTCATTTTCCTCCGGCTGCTTTCCACTGCGGGTAATTAAAACCGCAACGTCCTGGAGCCCAGCGCGGGGAGGGGTGCGGGCAGCGTCCTCTGAACCTGATGGGAGAGCCTCGTGGCAGCGATGGAAACTGCTTGAAGAGTGTGAGATGTGCTCGTTGGTCTCCTGGCTGGACCTGGAGGTTGATGGGCAGCACTGGGAGGATCTGCAGCGAGCAGAGGGAAATTGTTTCCGAGCTTTGCTTACAAGGGCTGGGACACGAGATGTCACCAGCAGTTTCGCAGCTTTTTCAGTCTTTCCAGCTGGGAGGTTGAGCCCCTGGTGCTTTGCTTTGTGCTGTGTCACCTCTGACAGCCAGCGAGGATGAGGGATGTGGCTGAGCAGGAAAGCTCTGTTTTTCCATGGGGGTTTGTTGGCTACAACCCGAGCACTGTGCTCCGAGGTGGGACCCTTGTCTTGGTCCAGGCTGTGGCTGGTCTCTGCAGGAGCTTCCTAGGGGAGGAGGGCTCTGTGAGCACACTCACCCTGCTCCCAGTGACCTGGGAAAAGGAATTAAAGGGGAGTAACAAGGGGAAAAAGGGGCTGGGGCCGTGCCCTGGGGCACCTGCCCTGGAGCACCACTGGTGATTGCATCTCACACCTCGGTGGAGGATGTTTTTAGTGCTACCCCTGCAAACCAAGCTGGGAGAATCACGGTTTGCCTTCCTTCAGGCCATCCTGGCTCCAGTTTGCTTTTGGGATGGGGTCCTTTGGGTCCTTCCCACGAGGCTGGAGGGCAGGGAGGGTGTCAGGGGAAAGCCTGTTCCTGACTCATCCAACCTTCTGTCTCTGCTGGCTAAATCCAGGCAATAAATATTTGGCTGATTTTGTCACAACAAGCAAAAACAAAGATTGACTGCCAAGCTCTGAGCACCTTTCCACTCTGAATTTAGCTTTCAATTCTCCCTTAATTTATTATTTGCAGTTAATTTAATCCATATTGAGCTGCCTCAAAGAGAAAAAAGCCCTAGATTTGGTGAAAAATAATCTATTTTTAATTATTTCTGATGTAGAACACTAGCCCATAAATAAATTCCACTGCTACCCAGTGGTTTTTTTGCCGTCAGAACTGTCTTGCTGGAATCAATAAACAGTTGATTAAAAACCTTGTTATTTAATATATTCAGTAACCCTAATCTATTCATTAGAAACTTAATCACTTTCATGTCACCAGCTGCTGTGATGGAGAAAAGAGCTGTAGCTAATTATTAGCAATTTTACAAAGCTAATATTGAATTTCTAATGGGTCCTCTGTGGCCTCTATTTCAGGCGGTTTGTATATCCCACAAACATGTGTTCTGGCTCTGGGCAGGGCCAAGCATCTCAACCTCGCAGCCTCGCGGATCAGCTCGAGCCCTACCAACCAAACCTCCCGTCGGCTCGCGAAAGCCACACGTGTGCGGTGCTGGCCCCGGCCAGCTTCACCCCGGGAGCCTCCGGATGCTCCTCTTTGAAGCTCCAGATGCTCCTCCACAGCTCCAGATCCTCCTCTGGCGAGGGGACCAGCGGCCAATGTCCCCAGCACCCTTGGCCACCAGCAGCGGGGAGCGACTGGGCTCTGTGAGCAGGCACCGCGGGGGCACGGGTGGGCGTTTGGTGCCATGCGTGTTGCTGGCCCCTCTGCCAAGAACTTGGTTTTATTCTTCTTTGGTTAATTTTGGGCTTTTGTCTTAGAGCCACTGGTTTGGCTAACGTGGCCTTGGGAAGCAGCGAGGGCACTCTGGATGATGCTGAGCTGGGATGTTCCTTCGGGCTGGTGACCTCGAAAGCCGCCCATCGGTCTGGGTTGGATGCATGCACTTTGCTGGGATTTCATCCTTATTATCTGTGTTGTTAGGAGCACTACTCTTACTTCTGTTGGACAAAAGCTCAGGTGCTTTTTGTCCTACCAGGCAGGGCCTGGGCACACAGTGAGATGACATCTCCCATGGGTGCTTGTGTGGGATGCAGGGTGCAGAGCCTGGTTCAGGGAGAGCTTTGGCGCAGCTTCAGTGCGAGGCTAAAGCAGGCATGGCTGCAGGGGCTTGTGCTGCTCTGAGCTGGTTGAGTTGTTAAAAAATAAATAAAAGTCATGAAATGTTTGTTGAACCAGCCAGAGCTTCCTGTAGATGATAGGAAAAAGTCCTTGGCTGGGTTTGTGCAGGGATGAGCGTCGCTGTACTCAGTGCTGGGGTGGGACACGTCAGAGCAAGCGACAGGCTCAGGCATGGGGTGCTTAGGAGGCTTTTTCCTGGGGAAAAAAAAAAAAAAAAAGGTGGGTGCTTCGTGGGTCTCCTGGGGGTTCCTCTTTGTGGTTACAGAGCTGTGACATGGGCTGGGTCGGGCCCTGGCCATCCGCCAGTCTGGCTGCTCCTGGTGTAGCTGCTCTTGGTACCTCCTTGGATTTTCCAAGTTTCTCATCTTTGCAGCACTTTCTGCATCCTGTCATAATTAAGCACGCTCTAGGGTTATAGCTTGAGAGATTTAATATGCTGTCGTCCTTTGCCTTCCTCTTCATGCCCGGTTTTACCATGGGATGACTGCCCATGACATCTCTTGGCCAGGTTCAGTTCAGCACATAGAGCACCAGCACGGGGCTCGGGGCGTCCTGAGCCTTGGGACACCATGGCTAAGGGCACGTCCCGAGTTGCCTTTCTGGCACCTCCAACCTCAAGCTCTGCACATGGAGGGGCTCTGCCCTGCGAGGCACCTCGCTGAGGTGCTCAGGTCTGGAAGGGTTACAGGTGTGTTTGGGGTCAGGAGCCTGCGGTGTTACCCTTCCTCTGCAGAGCTCCTTCAAGCAGCCTTAAGGGGAGAGAAAAGCTTGAAACGTGCTGGGGTTTTAGCACCCTGAAAGCCTGCAAACCTCTGCAGTATGCTGGAACCAGTCACCACTGGGGTCTGCACCCAGCAGACAGCTCAAGGTCCTGTTTTCCTCTGGGTGCCATCAAAAGCAACAGCAGCATCTCCGCAGTGAGAAGCGATGCGTGAATGTGCTCTAGCCAGGGGGGACCGCCTGCAATCCTGCAATCCTGCTCCAGGAGGGCGTTGCTGAGAGGTGGCTGCATGCAAAAGCTTCCTCCCTTGGGCATCAGCTCCCCGCCTTGGGAGGGAATTGGCCAGATGGAAGGAAACAAATGCACAAACATATACGTAAACTCTTCCAAAATGGCTTCGTGTTCTCGTTTTCAAAAATATGTGATTGAGCTTGTTTTATGGGCTTGGCGAACTTCTGGCGGCATCTGGCTGAGCTAAATATTATACTTAATAGCCCAAGACAGCAGTGATTGCAGAGAGCTGTCTGCTTTTCATGTGTGTTTACAAATGTGCCATAGTAATTCCAGGGAAATTAGCATAGAGCCTTAACAACAGAACGGGGGATGGAGAACAAAGGGAAATGTCTCCCTGCCTCTCTCCTGGCTATGTGCGAATCGGTCCATGGGCCGGTGTCCTTGTGCACAGCACAATCTCTGCAGGTCTGCCTGTTATCGGTGATTTTTCCACCCCAGCCTCCCCAAACGGCTTTTTCGTACGCATCAGATATTGGCCAGAAGCAGCTTTGGCAAAGAGGTCGTACCTGGTTTCTTTTAAGGAGTCTGTAACACGAGGTTTTTTACCCTCCTGTATGACATTGATCTATGGAGCTGCTTAGTAGTAACACTTAAAAAAATATTTAGGGGATGGAATTTGCCATTTTGCCAAAGAGCCTGGTTAGTGAGGATGTTTCTGATTTCAGAGGTCTGAGGGAACCTCTTGAGGTCCTCACAGCTTCTGCCCAGAGCCTGGGGCTGTTGGGCCCATGGCTGCAGCCCGCAGCAGCTCTCCTGCACTGCCTCTGTCCTCTTGGGCAGGGAATTTCAGCCACTTGAGTTGTTTGCCTGAGTCTGAAGGAAATGAAGGAAAGGAGGACTGAAACCCTCCACAAAACAAAGTTGCTTTCCTCTAGACAGCTCTGCTCGATGTAACGTGAAGGGAGATTTGCCCTCGGTGTGAAATGCCCCCTGGCATCAGCTGCAGCAGAGCTGGGCTCCGACCTGCTTTGTGCGGGGCCGGGAGCAGCTTCAGGGGCTGGGGGATCTGAGCGTTTTGTGGGGTGGCAGGAGGGCTGGGTTCTGATACGGGGAAACTTTTTCCTACAACGTGGCCCATGCCGAGCCCAAAGGGGTGGTGGAAACGCGCCACCGCAGCAGGCCGTGTTTTCCCAGCTGGGGTTTTCTGCCAGGAGCCATAAGGCTGTTTTGGGGTTATTTTAAGTGCTCTGCAGTGTGACAAAGGTGTTCAGGGTGCCCTGTGGTGTGATGCAGGGAGCGTGGCAGTGTCACCAGCTGACCTCAGGCTCCCAGCCTCCGTGATCCCCAAGCAACGTGCTGTGCCTGGGCAGCAGCGGGCGATAGGGACGGTGGCAGCGGGCCAGCGTGCCCTGTTCAGGCAGGTGGGCTGCCTCGGCTGCCCCGGGCCGATGGCACGGAGAAGCTCGGAGGCTGTTCAGTGCTGTGCTGGAAGCTGTCCCAGATCCCAGCTAGCCCAAAGCTGGGGAGGAGCCACCAGAGGAGTTATTTAGGTGTGCACCCACACCCCGTGCGCAATTAAACGCACCTGGCCCAGATCATCAGCTCATGTAAATAGGCAAAGCTCCATACCAATCTTCTGAGTCTTTGCATCTGCAGATGATGTATTATTGAATTATGCTTGATTAGCTGTTTTTCTGTTGCTTAACAGAAAGCAAATCTCAGCATAAATGAGATTAGTATGTGCCCTCCATGTATGGCAGCTCTTGCTCCCAAGAATTTTAACATTCTTAATAGAATGATTTTTTTAAAGCAAGAGGGGAAAAAGGACTCTTTGAGGCTCCTGTTTCATTTGTCAGATTATCCGAACATTAAATTAAGCAAGTATGGAAATTCAAAATATAGCTGTTCTACAACATGTGCTGACACTGGCACAACAATATCAGTAATCCCCCTTGACAGCCATTACAGCTTAATGCTCTAAGAAAATGAACTACTTATTTTCTTTACCCCACATACACAGCGTCTCAAAATCTTTCCCTGTCTCCCAGCCAAGATGACTCTTTGAATTAATCTCCTCCAGGTACCAGCTGTGTTTGTCTCATCCTGCTGAGCAGCACCGATTGCTTTGAGGCTGTGTCACCTTGACAGCTCCGAAAATCCCCGGCTGCTCTTGAGGACTTCATTGCACTGGGTGTTGTCGTGTGAGAGAGGTTCGCAGACAGCCTGAACTCTGGTTCGTGCTAGGGGTACCCACCACATCTTGGAGGTCTTGCCCCATCATCTCCTTGTGCCGCAGTGCAGCTGAAGGAGGTGTGGAATCCACAGTCAAAAAGCTCGTAGACATTTTCAAGCCTGGAAGTGCTCCTCTCCTGCCTGTTTTAAAGTTGTACCCTTCAAGAAACCACAGGATTTGGTCTCTGAGTGATGTTAATCTGCAGCTGTGATCGTGAAAGCCTTCTGTTGAGCTGGGTGTTGAAAGCAGCATTGCGTAAGGGTTGGGGAAAAGACAACTTGTGTTCGTTGGAGGTGGCAGCTGGACCTGTTCCTTGTGCTGAAGTTGGTATCCTTGTCTTTTTGTCTCTTCTTCAGTAAAAAAAAAAGGCTGTACTTCCTTCCAGCACCTCATCCTGGGTGCCTGTGGGAAGGATTTGGAGGACTTGCCTAGAGGCCTCTTTTGGATTTGTAAGGGCAATTCAGCAGTTTCTTAGCCAGGTCTCTGGATCCCAGCACGTCTTTGGCCCTCTGGATTGGGATAGGTCTGGGAAAGCCTGGGAACTTCTGTTAGGAAGTGAACAGCCCAAAGAGGTCACTTGAGAGCCTTAAGGGCTTCTAGGAGTAAGCGGCTGTGGATGCTCTGACTTTCAGATGTGCTTTCATGAGAGGAGGTGCTGAAATTCCCACAAAGTCCAGTTTGTGATGCCAAATGTGCTTCTCCAGCACACACCACTAGGCTCAGATTTGCCAAGACATTTAGGCACCTGAAGGCACAGCTGGGCACTGGCTGGGCTTCCTGAAAGCCTCCTGAGGAGCTCAGCTCCAACAGTGGCCCAGGGCATTTGGAGCAGCCTGCGGACACAGGTTATACGGAGACTCAACTTTGAGCCATATTAGACCACAAAAGGACCTCAATAATCATTTTTTCTATCAAAATTTTACTCAAGAGCATCACTTCTCAGCAAAAGACTGCCTATTGGAGTTGAAGGCGGCACGTTGGCTTTAATGGGCCTGATCTCAGCCAGTGTAAACTAATTTCCCTCCTTTGAATAAGGCAGAGCCCTGGTGATGTGCACGAGGACTTACCCCTTTATCATCAGGTGCGCTTTACAGCTAATTCATAACGAGAAGAGAATTTCCACTGTCAGATCATTGTACCGCTGAGCAAAATTGGAGCAGCTGCCTTGTAAAATGTGAAATGGCATCAATATACTGCGCTGCGTCTCGGAGCATGTGACTGGGAAGGTGATTGCGCTCGTTAATAATGAGCCACTAAATTGGATGCAATTGCAATAGCTCATCATCGGTATAGAAATATTATGCTTTATAGGTACATTACTGGGCTGTATTTTATAAGGCTGTTAAGCTTACGCACTTTCTCTTGCAGTAAATGTCAGCAAGGTTACAATAAAATTTAATACAATATTATTAAAGCTGAAGTGCATCAGTATGGAATGATCATGTACACACACTAAAAATTCTTTATTATTGCTTCCTTAACCTTCTTAAGGAACTGCTTGTTTTAAAATACAGCCATGAAAAGGATCAAAGCTTGGAGGTCTCTCTGTCCATCCAAAGGTTCATTAGTATTTCCAGCGTAGATGGGAATTTTGTGACCCATTAGTTCAAGTAAATTAAACATTAAAATTTCAGCTCTGCCAGGAAAATTTCAATACAGCTGCGTATTATAATACAGGTGGCGAGGTCTCCTCGCGTTCACCTTAGCTTTCACGGGGTGGAACTGACTGGCAGGTCGCTGCCCTGCGCAGCAGCAAGGCATGCCCTCGATGGCACGGTGGCAGCCAGGGCTGGCACGCCTAACGTGCTGCTGGGCTTTTGGGGTCTGCCATTACCATGACAATGCCGGTGTCCCTCCC